TTCTGGCACCTTGTCCTATTAGGGCGGCCATAGCAGTCATCCTAAGCCTAAATAATCTGAGTTTTTGTGAGCTCACATCCGGCCAGTCAGGGCTTTATAGGTGAAGGGCTGGCCCTTTGCGTTCATTCAGAAAGTGCAAAATTAATGAATAAAAGTTTACCTTCTCGAATATCTTGAAGCCAAATGTGTTCTACAAACAGATCGCCTTGACGGTGTTCGTAGAGAGCTCGAGTTTGCGGCATCTGGAAGGACATTATCTAGGATAACATATGCATTGTCCTCCTTTGTCTAATACTGACCATCTCAAAAGTTGCGGATCAAATTTTATGCTTTGATGATAACTTGGGGTTTAGCCGTTTAGGAATAGGACTCGCCTCGCCCACCTAGCACAAGTAGCTTTGCGAAACATTTCAGTAGAGGTAAATATTCCCGCATCCTAACACTAACATAAAGCTACACTGTAACCTTAATCTTAACTCTAGTCCTGTTGTAAACCTAAAATCTATAGCTAACATGAACCCAAACCCCAGCTTTTAACGTCATCCTGACCCTCACTCCAACTGTGATCTTAACCCAGTCTTGAACCTACTTGTAAACTTAACCCTAAGCTTGACCTTAACCCTAAACCTAATTTCCCCGGAATTCGGCGCACGGTCCTATGCATTGTGGGTGTTTTATAGTCCCGTATCCTGTTACCAGTCATCCTTACACAGTCGGCCAATGCTTTCGGCTCATATTATCTATTAATACAATCTACCACAAAGGACGTACGCCTAAATCCTACGAAAAGACTTGCTTTATCACATTGTGCAAATAAAATTTGTGCAAAGGCCACACAAATGTGTAGGTTCCAATCACGTGCATTTTCTCCCATAAAAACGAAGCCAAGAAGTAACCGCATCTTGGTCGCACACATTAGATACCCCTTGTCCCAGAATTGTGTCTCGAGGGACCGGTGTCATTAATTTATTTTTAGTTTCTTATTTAGTCTATTAGTTTAGGGTTAGTTTTAGTTGAGTTTCTATTTAGCTAGTTTTGTTTCGTTCAGCTTAGTTTAGTTGGTATATTTTAATATACAGTAGTTATTTAAGTATACTTTTCAAACGTTGACGATATCTAAATAAACTAAAAATTAAACCACGGTTAACCAAAACGTAAACTAATAGCCTAAATAACAAACTAAAATCCAACATAAACTAGAACTAAAGGAAACTACAGGACCAGGGTCAAGGGGCGGGTCTAAAGTGGGAGAACAACTTTACTTTTGCTGTTTATTCTTCGCACCCTCGTATATTGCTGTCATTTCTTCGGTTTAACGAATGTCTGCTACGTATTAAAACTCAAAATTTCCACGGCGTTTTTAATTTTACACTCCATTCTTGGACCGGATCAACTGTTTGATATACAGCAACACGTCAATTAACAAATTAAGTTTCTGTGGGGAAGAAAACTCAAAGTCGACCTTCGCATCCTTCTTGACATTGACTATAACTATAACTGCTAACGTGTTCTGCTACCAGTCCGGCAGATCTATCTTGTATTATGCCTAATTCCTTCATAGACATCCTGCCGATTCTTTGCTTTACGCTCAACATTTTGCCGTTTTTTGCATCCAAATATGGTTTCTTTTGAAAAATATCTTTCAGTTAGATGTAGATTGTCACCTAGAGTATTGTATTAAAACTTATTGCATAAAACTTATAAAGCAACTATTGTCTTTTTCATTTCCAATACTAAAATTCTGGGATATGGAAGTGTCCTCCTGAAATGTAAAAGCTATATATTTTAAATGATTAAATTGTTCGGCTGGAAACCCAGATAATTTTAACTACTCTTTGTGATGTTAAGTGGTTGCTAAATCCCCGGATATTATCTCCTCTAGCGATTATCCTCCTCCTTGTTTGGACCCTAAGAGCTCCGGTGGGAAATACGGTGGTTTCCTCTGATTAGCCACTTCGCTGGTGGCATGTTCGGTCCGCGAAGAAGTATCACGGCCGCAAGTAATCGGGCTTCATTGATCCCTGCAACCTTAGACAAGTTCTACTTGCTTCGAAACTAACCGGACTGTGGACAAGCGTGAAGGGTTCCTCCTGGCTCCTCTTGAGCACATGTACAGCACGCAATCTCATCCGATTTAGAACTTCTCCGTCAAGGAGAAGTGTTTTGAACTTTATGTGCTCTCACCTGAAGGGCTGTCCTGTTTCACAAGCATATTTTCAATACAATGCCTGCCTAGTATGAACACGAATTAATCACTGCAATTGTCAAAATTGTTTTAATTTTCTAAATTCAGCGTTACAATACCTCCATGGCTGTTCAATAAAACTATTATTATTATCATCGTAATCTATTACAAAATTTTACTGTGCGTAAAAGCCTTTGACTGGTACTGATTAGCTGAATTTCCTTATTAGTTCCATCTTTTCTTTGCAACACTTTGCAACTTGGTACATCCTTGATTCAACCCAACTGCATTTAATTATTTAAAATGTACTTTGTGCTATTTCATCCTCTGGAACAATTCTCGTTCTTCCAGAATTCAGGAAATTCTACTAGGATCCTCGTTCTTCCAACTCTTAAATCCTTGCTATGCCCTTTGCGGAAGGTTTTATACTGGGTGATCAAGATAGGTCGCAAACTCTCCAAGCTAGCAGAAGCAACCCATTTACTGTGTTTAAATTATTATATTACGGGATTTTCAGAAATGCCTATGACGGAATTTTTCCTTAAGAGTTTATAAATTTCGAACAAGACAAAGGCAACATGGTTTGCAGAATTTAACAACGTCGTAGAATTTCACGCCCTTTCATTCAACTGAATATGATCGCTGCTTGTTAATAAGATAAACAAATGGTCCAATTAAATATCTACCTAGAAGGTTGAAAATTGATAGGTTAATAGAGCATAAGCGGTTGGTCTTAGAATAAAAGGCCACGCCATTGTGTGACATCATTAAATTCTACAAACTTCGCTTTATTTACGTTGTTTAAATTTATTCTTGGGCAACAATGCTTCAGTTTATAACTTTCGGCTGAAATGATCTTAAGGTGAACCTTACTTTTTGATAGGAATACAATCTTGCCGGCAGAAGACACAGTAAGAAAATGTATGTAAGTATATAACGCATAGTATATAACGCACGCTAAATTCCTCAGACAAACAGTTTTGACGTAAAAAACACGCAACAAATTTCAACTGCTAGCGTTACGGTAGGTGCAGAAACGAAGGCCAGTGTTTACATTTTCTAGCCGCCGCCGCCGCCCCAGCTTGTTTTCAGACAATTTATTGCACTTAAAAAGCCAGATGCCTGTGGGACCTGTTGCAGCTTCCCCCTCAGTCGACTTTAGCTATTGGAGTTAGCCGAGCAGTTGACGCTTGAACGCCAGCGGCACACACACAGTGAAGGCGCTTAAACTCACGCCCCAACTAGCAACACTGCAGAGCGCGAATGTGCGTGCCCGTTGGTTAATGTGCCCTAACACGACGACGACGACGGCGACCTTTAAACCGCTAAGGAGGGCGCAAATTCTCACCGCAGACTATTCGGTTATAGTGTGCGACACTCGGCCAATCAGATTGCCTACTTTAACAATTACTTGGACATCAGAGTAAGAACGAATCATTCACGAGTTGCACGAGTTCTGCACCGCAAGACGCACGCGCCATCTGATACGCTAAACCCGAGCAGGTTTAGGCGACATTTTCATAAAAAAGTAATTGAGGAGTGAAAAAAAGCAACACCTTTACAC